AGTGGAAGGCACTGCCCTTGGATCCTGCCTAGGACCCCAGGCATAGGAGGCAGCCCTCAGCTCCTGTCAAGGACCCTAGGTGAGAAATTAGATTCTTTTTTTATTGTATAGATTTGCTAAGAGTTTTTTCTAGAGTTTTTTTTTTTTTTTTTTTTTTTTTTTTTTTTTTAGGTCATGAATGGGTCTTGATTTTATGTAATTTTTTTCTGCATATGTTGAAAAATCATATTTCTTTTTTCTCCTTTAATCTGTTAGTATGGGAAGTGATATTTATAAATATACAGATATTAAACTATCCTTACATTCCTGAAATAACTCTACCATTTTCTTTGTAGGAACTTTTGGACTAATTATGTGATTTTCTTTAAGTTATAGTACTATCTAGTCTTTCTATCTCTTCTAGTATAAATTTAGTAAGTTATATTTTTCTAGAAATTTGTCTGTTTCATGTAAATTTTCAAATTTATGGCATAAGTTGTTCATTGTATTATCTTATTTGGGGAAGGACGTATTTAGTTCTTTTTATCCCCAAGTTTTATTTTGAAAAATTTTTAATTTACAAAAAATATAATAGTTCAATGAACACCTATAAACTGTTTATTCTTCTCTCTCTTTCTCTCTCTAACTTGCTACATCATTTTAGGTTAAGCTGCAGATGTAATAATATTTTATTCCTAAATACCTCACTGCATATCTCCAGAGAAATAGGATGTTGTTCTATATCACCACGATATCATTAACACACTTAACAAATTTAAGATTGATACAATACTGTTATCTAATAGTCATATTTTCCCTATTATCTTAGTAGTGTTCTTTATAGTTCCTTTTCCTGTATTTTTCTCTTCCTTTCTATCTCTTTCTTGTCTTCCTCTTTCTTTTCCTCCTTCTCTTTCTCTCTTTCTCTCTCTCTCTTTTATATCTAGGGTCAAATCAAGGGTTACAAATTATGCTTTCTTTAGTCTCCTTTAATCGAGAACAATTCCTCAGCTTTTTTGTCTTTCATGACCTTGACACATTTTGTGTGTGAGGTTTCAAGGCCAGTTGTCTGATAGAATATCTGTCAATTTGGATTTGTCTATTATATTGAGATTAGATTCAGGTTGAAGAATATTATATATGTGATAGCATGACCTTCTCAGCATTATGTTAAAAGGCACTCATTGTCAGTTAATGCTATATTGGTAACTTAAGTTTGATCCTGTTGTTAAGATTTCTCCTGTGGGAAAGTACTGTTTTCCATTGATAATTAGTAAGTGATATGTGAGATGACTTTTTGAGACCTTGTGCATCTCCTTTTCCCCAATAACTATTCACTCAATTATCTTATCATCCCCTAATAATTCTTCCCTGAAGGTTTATCCTATCCTCTCTGTGTTTCTTCTGCAAAAATAAACAGATTATATATTCTTATATTCCTTTCTATTCTGCTAACATTAACACACTGTATATAATATTTTGCATCTTGCTGTTTTTTTTTTTGTTTGTTTGTTTGTTTGTTTTTTCTTTTTGTCTTTTTTTGTGACCGGCAACGGATCGCAACCCTCAGTGTCGCGCCCGGACCGGACCGGGACCGGCAACGGTATCGCAACCCTCAGTGTTGCTCCCGCCCTTCGCTCAGCCAGTGAGCGGCTGGTCTGTATGTGGGATCCGAGCCCTCAGCGGGAGCGCCGCCACACTCCCAAGCGGCGCAATGTAGCAGTGTGCCACTGGGCCGGCCCAGAAAGTATCTTTATATATTAATGAGATTAATACTTTATTTGGATATATGGCAAATATTTTCTTCCAGATTGTCATTTATCTTTTGACTTATAGTATTTTTTGCTATGCAAAGTTTTAAACATAATTGAATTTAATATTCTTCTCTTTTATTGCATTTGTATTTTAAGCTATGGTTAAAAAGTCTTTACCCACACCCAGCTTATAAGGAAATTTACCTATGCTTTCATTTTGTATAGTTTTTTTTTTACATTTACATTTTTGATCTGTTTAGAGTATATTCTTGTATATGCTTTGAAATACAGATCCAATTTTAGCTTTGACTATCTACTTACATTTATTGGCAAATGACTATTCACTTGTCCCAACACAATTTATTAAAAAGTCCATGATTTTTCTTCAGTGATTTCAAGTGCCATCTTTATCATGTACTAGATGTCCATTTGTACTTGAGTCTCATTCTGTTTTCTACTGTGTCCCACTGCTCTATTTATGATGCCAGTATTGCATGTTTTAATTATGAGATTAATAGTATGATTTAATATCTGGTGGGACTAGTCACCCTCTTTATTTTTCCTTTTCAGGGCTTTCCTGAAAGGAAAAACATTCAAGAGCTTTTCTTGAATGTTTATTTTTTTCATATGAACTTTAAAATCAATTTGCCTAAGCACCAGGGTGGGCAGGGGGGTGGGGTGGAGGCACAAACCTTGTTAGTAATTTTATTGGAATCACATTCAGTTTGATTAACTTGAGGATAATTAACATTTTTATGATGTTCTATCCAAGAAAAAGTCATGCTAGTTATTATTGACGACAATGAAGCCTACGTATTTTTGTATGCTAATTTTATATCTTGCTACCTTTCTAAATTATTTATTGTTTGAGTTGGTTTTCTCATTGATTTTCTTGGGTTTTCTAGGTATATTGTCATATCACCTGAAAATTGAAGTAACTTTATTTCTTTTCTCAAATTCTTATGCCTCTAATTATTTTCTCTAGGCTCATTTCAATGGCTAGTTACTCCAACAAAATAATAAAAATTAGTAGAGGCAATGGGCATCCTAAAGGAGAATGGACTGTAGTGCTCCCCCAGCAAATAAGATACTTACTTTAAGACTGACATATATATTTTATATTGTATGAAAAGAATATCGATTAGTTCTGATTTTTATTCAGTGTTTTTATTAGGGATAAGTTTTTAATATTTCAGAGATTCTTCTAGCACCTCTGAAGATAATCATATTATTTTTCTCCTTGGAAATATTAATATGGTCAATTATACTAATGAATTTCTAATATTGAATCATACATTTATTCCTGGAATAAATCCTAATTGATCATAGCTTATTATTTACTTAACATGGTATTGGATTGTTTTTGCTATTATTTTACTTATAATTTTTGCATCAGTATTCATGGATATGTGTGTGTGTATGTATGCACTATCTTTATTGGGTTTAGGTATTAATGTTATACTTGCTTCAGGAAAAGAAGTTGACTGTTTTCTTTACCTTTTAAATTTTCTAAACCAATGTTTATAGTTTTGGGATTATCTGGTCTCAAAAAGTGTTTTTGCTTTTTGTTCTTAATGTAGTTTTTAAAAAAATTTTCTCCATAAAACAAACAAACCAAACCAAGCAAAAACTTTTCCATTTCAGCTACAGTTATTGGGTGAGAAATAGAAAACTTGGAAGTAGCTATAACATTTTAAATACAAGAAGGAAGTAAAAATGGAAATTAGGGGCTCAGGAAAGATTAAATAAAGTGTTTAAATCAAAAAATATAAGAGAGAATATAATTACCCAAACTATGAGAGCCATTGAATTTAAAAACTTCTTCCCATTCTGTAGAAGCCTACTGGCAACTGTGAGGCTTCAGACTTACTGTAAGTGTTTTCCCACAGAGTGTGGGACTTTTACTTTCTGGGGGTCATTTAATCTGTGTTTTATCATCCCTGAGCCCTCTTTCCCTTTCTTTTCTCTTCCATTTCATTGCTGCTTAACTCTCTGCGTTGGTGTAGGCTTTGAGCTGAATTTAGATGTTTATTTCCCTACTTACATGTAACTTCAAGTTTGTAATATCCTCCATTTCTTGGTTAGCTTGTATGTATGGCTTATGGGTGGTTTTATTTGGTTTTCTTATTGGAGATTTTTTTTTCTTTTTCATTTAGGTGATGTTATAAGAATCTGGACTCCTACCATTACCTTTTTTAAAAGACAGGCTTATTAAAGTATAATATACATACAATAAAATTAATGCTTTTTGGTATACAGTTCCATGAGTTGGCAAACACTTTGTCATGTAACCACTATCACAATCAAGATATGGAATACTTTGATCACCCCAAAATACTCCCACTAGCCCATTTGTCATCAATGCCTGCAATCCACCCCAGCCCCTGATCTGTTTTCTTTTCTTAGTTTTGCCTTTCTACTATGTCATATAAAAGGAATAATATCCTACATGGCTTCTTAGGTTTGGCTTTTTATTATTTAGCATAATGCATTTGAAATTTATCCATGTTGCTCCACATGTCAGAGATAGTGGCAGAGAATTTTACAAAAAATAATGAAATACTTCAAATCACAGTTACAAGAAACTCAGAGAGCCCCAAGCAGCATTAAAAAGAAAGAAAGAAAGCAAGAAAGAAAAGCAAACATCTATACACATCATATACAAACCTCTGAAAAACAAATATAAAGAGAAAATCATGAAAGAAGGCAGACAAAAAAAAGACAAAAAGGCACATTACATGTAAATGAATGAAGTTAAGAATTGTAATAGACTTCTCATCAGAAATCATGCAAACCCAAAGACAAGGAAAATGACAGATTGAAAGTAAAAGCTGTTAACAGAATTCTCAGTGAAAATATGAATAGTAAGCTAATAGATGTTTCATTTCCCCAGTCTGCAGATGGCCTTTCTTCCCTCTCTTTGTCTGGAAATAGTTTCTACGTTTTGTCCTTCACAGACCTCATGGTCATTCGTTAATAGTAGTATATTTTTTACACTAAACCACGTTGTTCTTTTAATTACCATGAAATTATTAAATGTCTGTTATTTATTTAGTCTACCTTATTGTCTTTATGGGAGTTTTATCCTCAAATTTTTATACAGTCCTTATAGAATTATAGACAGTTAAAATTTCCAAGTCTTTAGTTTTAACTTGAAATTCTAGTTATAGAAACTATAAACCTGCCACTCTCTGTGTAATAATTTAAAAATATATGATAGAACAGTTTATTGTTGAATTAATAGGATAACTTTTTCTTTTAAAACAGACTTAAAAAAGAATTAGAACTTTATAAGGAAGATGACATGGAAAGTGTTTATGAAGCTCTCCAAACAGAAATAGAATTTTTGGAGTTGGTAAGCCATCATTGACTAATGTATTCTGTTCAGCATCATTTGACTTACTGGTAAGAATGGTTTTACTGGCATACATGTCATCGAACTAGCGCTTTGCCTCTCTGCAAAAAACAAAAAAGCAACAATGAACAAAACTAAGGTCAGGAGATAAATCTGTGAAGTGTTTTTGAGTTCCTGGAGAGTTTATATTCAAAAAGAATATGTACAATTTCAAAGTAATTTAAAGAAATTCATATCTAATCTTACATTTCCTTGACTGAAACTATCATTAGAGGTGTACTAAAGGAGGTTAACTACCATAATGCTTAAAAGCTTTTTGTTTTTCATAGGCATAAATTATACTTTTATTGTATGATCCTAAAACTTTCTTATTAACAGATTTTTATGATCTCAAAAACCTTGGATTCAATTATAGGAAACTTATTTTCAGATTGTGTGGGAACATTTAAAATTGTTTCACCCTCTTACTTTGGTTGTTTATAAAATGAACACTGTTTGCCATGCTCTATTTTAATAGAAGACATACATAGCATTAAAGTATATTAAAATATAGTTTTAATTTGATACATCAGATTTATTTTGTTTCATGTTTATTTTCTGTAAACATTTTCTTGTTCAAAAATGTTCCAATCGATTGTTTGGATTTATATTTTTTATAAAAACTTAAAAAATATAATTTAGAAATGCCCAGAGTTACTGTTATGCTAAGTTTAGGTCAATTTTATGTAATTTATTGATTAAGAATTTACTTTTTCTTATGAATAATCTTTACATGTTTCTTTTCAGACATTGGCACAGAAAGATCTTGAGGAAAAAAAATAACTTGTAGAGAATTGATCAGCCATCTGAGATTTGACCAAAGCATCTTAGAATCAAATCTTTGTGATAGATTAATGAATGGTACCTATTCAAACAGATTCCTGTGGAAAATATGAGGTCCAGAATATTCGAAATTGTTGATATCTAGAATAGGTTTATTAGCACTTAAAAATAATTTTTTTTACTCACTGGAATTTTAAGAGGTCTTAAATGGTTTGATTTCGTTTCTAAAGGAAGAGAAAGGAGAAGTAGATATTGTATTCCCAGGCTTCTTATATCCCCCTGACCCTCAAGCTGCTCTATCCTTCTCTGTCTTTCCGATCTTTTCATTCTTCGTTGTAGCTTACCTCAGGTACAATCATACGTACAAAAGAAGAAACACTCAGATTACTGACCCAATTTTGTTGGCACCATTTCAACAAAGGTGCTTACTTTCATTTTAATCCTTCTCTAATCATAAGATGTCTGTCGACAGAGGTCCTCTGAGGCCCTTCATCTGCAAAAGCCAGTTTTCTCCACTTTTCTCTGTGTGTTTGTGAAGTCTGGGGCACCTGCAGCCATTTTCCAGCAGTTCGTGCCTGCCAGTTTTCTTCCTAATGTCATCGGTGGTGGTTAGAATGAAATAAGTTATCCACTTGCAGAGGTACATAATCTCTTTATAGCCATCAGGATTCATTTTTGCTGGTGGCCTGAAACATTGTAAATGACAACAGTATACTTATGGTTGTATCAATCATGCTATTGCCACCAAACTTCCAACATCACTTATCTTTCTGCAGTTACCACTCCTTACTAGGCAGAAAGGTATATTTTCACTTGGGTCTAAAAGTGTATTGAAAAAATAAAAACAAACTAAAAACCAAAAAACAATAAATAAATGAATAAATAAATAAATAATTGTGTGTTGAATCTGTTCAACAATGCCCTAGATTGGGGTAGGTGGGGAGAGTAATAAAACTTACTTGGGAATATATTTCAAAGTACTGAGTGCTGGGGAAGGGGAAGGAGGAGAATGAGAAATTGATGAGAAACTGGTCAATGGGCACAAAGAATGATTGCGTGTTATAATGATGAATAGGCTCACTATCCTGATTTGAACATCGCATATTGTACACAACTATTGATAGTCAACTTTGCACCCCACAAATATGTGTAATCAATTATGCTACAATAAAAAAAATTTTTTAAGTACTGTCTGCTAATGTTAGAACCATGTTTTCTTTTGTGGTTGTAGTCAAATTGATTTTTGTAGTCAAATGTCAATTATGAAATGTTTAAAAATGCTTTATATCATGATGTTAAGGTAGAGTACTTAGGTCTACCTAAGTCTCAAAACAGACTCAGCAAGTCTTATTTCAGAGCAAGTCTTATTGTGACATAGCTTTCTTGCATATTTTGTTTTATACCCTTATTTTTTAGAAAATTAGCAAATTTAAAATATTCTCCTTTGGGATGTGTAGCCTTTGCCATCTGTTCAAATAATTTGCATTTTCAGAAGTGATTTCTGTTTTTATTTTTAAATATTTAAATTAATAATAAATTATTTTTGCCTAAGAAAAAAAAATTAATGGTGCCAGGGAATTGCAACCTATTATGCAAATGTAGAGTGGGAAATGGTTACTGGGATTAGTTATGCCTTCAGTTCTCTCTTATTTTAGTCCATTTATCTACCCACATTCTAAGTCTTGTGAATATCTATTATTATATGTATATCATAATATTAATATGCACATAAAGCCTTTTTTGCTTACCAATAATTTTTGTTCCTTATTGGTTTTGTAGCTAAAATATTAATGTGATCTAGAGATCTGCCATCTATTTGTATAACTAACACACAATGGCATATATGCAGAACAAACTACTACTCATACAACTTTTCTATCACATGTGTGTCATCTAGACTAAATATTCAGTAACAGAATCAGGGTTCATATGAATTGAATGAGAAAAAACTTGAGGGTTCAGTATGTTCATTATTTCAAAATGTTTAAAACACGTATTTTAAGATTTAAACTAAGTTTCACATAATCATATGGATGATTATTTTAGTACTGCAAGATAGAGTAATAGAAAGCGCTACCTATGTGATACCAATCAAAATATCTGGGACTTTTGGAACCAGTGTAATCAAACGAACAAGTTCTCTGAAGCAAAGGAAATACATCAATCAATAGAAATCACAGTGTACAAAGCTAAACTGCACCATTGATGTAAAATACTAGCAGTAGATTAGGTCTGTTTTCAGTTTTTTAAAGAGTTAGTAAGTCAAAAAACTCAAGTATAATTAACTGAAATTATCTAGGTAAAAATATGTCTCACTGAATTTTCTTTGGAAGTAAGACTTTGGCTATACTAAAAAGCAATTTTTAAATGAATGCCCATTCATTAATTCATTAAATTTGCTATATACTTGGTTATAACCAAAGTGCAAACTAACCCGAAGCAACACTGATGCTCTGAGGTTCGTGACATGCCACCATAGTTATTTAATGTAACACAATTTCTTTCAGATGCAACTTTCTAATTCTCAGTTCTCCATTGGGGATACTATTAGAATGCATAGAGTTTGCTGCATATTTTTTTCCTGCTGATTAATGGAGCTATTTGGCTAGGGAAAAAAGAGCAACTGGACTAGAAGTTCCTTTCTTACTCCCTGGCCAAATTATTTAAATGGGAGGAAAAAACAAAGAAAAAGAAAAGTCACAAGGTATGTACAATCAGGAATGTTTCTATACTATTATTGTTTTGTCGATGGTAGTGTTTTCTTCTGCAAAAGAAACAAAAAAGAGTATTTACTGCCTGCCTTTTTTTCTTTGGAACTTGAAAAACCGTTATGAAATTCTGAAAAGTCTAAGACACGGTTGAGGTCATGATATTATAACAAATTGGAACCTAGAAATGTCTTAAAACAGAGTCGATTGGGATTGATAATTTAGAGTGGAAATTATACTGTGAAAAATCTGTTGAGTCCCTTACCAGAAGTACAAGCAGTAATTCGGCTGGCTGGCTGCAAATGGACAGACAGTGTACACTGGACAGACCCTGTTCTAAGCTTTTGCTGAGGACAGAGTCCCTTTCTATTTCATACCATTCAATCATACATAACTATATCACACTATTATGAATAAATCGTTTATTTTCAGTCCAGAAAAAAGTAGCAGTTCAGTGACATGATTAGAAATAAATATTAGATTATTTTAATCCTCTGTGCACCAGGGTAAGGTCTTGTCATTCAAATATTTATTTATAGTATACAATTTGAAATTTGAAATTGTTCAATGTACTAAAAAGTATTTTAACATTTGAAGCTGATCTATTTAAAGGTGAACGTTTATATTTCTTTTTTGACCTCTCTTCTATCCTTTGCTATGTTGAAAAACTTAAGTAAAGCAAATATATTTGCCTCTCAAAATCTAGTTCAGAACATTTTCTGTCAAGGGAATTTTTTCAGGATGTGAACTAAAAACGAAAAATATTTTTTGTCGTTAGCCTGAAGCAGGGATTAAGTCTTAGAGTTTTGTGGCCCTTTTATCATAAGACAACAGATTCTTTTTTAAATCTAAGAATGGGTAGGATGAAGTTATCTTTGAAAATGTTTGAGGGGGGAAATGTATAGTCCATTGCATTTGTGCTTCCTAAACATTACATTTTCAAGTTAAGTAAGTTTTTTTCTTGGCCTGCTAATGGTCAAATAATTATTCCAGCAAATAAGCTTTATTTTTTTTTATTTATTTTGCTGATATTACAAAAGAATAATATTGAGACAGCATTGACTAATACATGAAGGAAATAATGTAATAACTTTCTCCTGCTCTATAAGGGAGAATCAGGATTTTGTTCGTTTGCCGTTCATTGTAAGGGGCATCACATTTATTAAACATGAGGAAAATTTTACAGTGTAGTGTTTGTTGTAAGAGCATATTTACTTTAATTGGAGGAAAGAAAGCATGACAAAGGAAGCCATGACTGATTGTATCGTGCTGTCCTAGCTGCTGCTATGAAAACTATCGAGAGCAAAGCTATCAGAATTGAATTTCAACACATAGCAAATTTATCTTTAAAAGGCCTTTATGAAATCCACAGCACCAGAATTCCGATGTCTGGAAAAATAAAGAGTAAGTAAAAGTGTGAAATTACTTATCTTCAGTGACTTATATAAGTAGCTGTTCTAAACAAGGGCCATAGAGTCAGAGAAAATGATTTTATTTTTTTTTACAATGAGAACTATACTACTTTCATAATTCTAAGTTAATTATTTTCATACTTATAATAAATTGCCATTCTAATTAGTTGGTAAATAAAATCTTGTTGAAATAAAATCTTCTTAATCTACATTTAATAGATGCAAATACAATTACTTATGAATATTTCTGGATATAGCTTTGTGATTACTGACAGTATTTGCAAATTCCAGCCACTGTTCACTTGAGTTGTTGTTGAAACAGTTTTTGTGAACTTTAGACAAATGAGCTCCTGATTGGGAATGGGTGACATGGGGGTAGTCATAGGGTCAGTGTACTGTCAGCGCTAAAATCTGTTACCAATTAAAATTTGTAAAATACCAAGGTTATATTTATTAAGATGTTTGTATCGAATAAAATCAAAGCTCCTTATTGAGATTCTAGTTGGAAACCAAGCGTATATCCCAGTGTTTGCTGGAGGAACTGAGATTTTGATTGATGATTTGATTTGTGTGCGGTCACAGAGAGCACGGGTCTACTTATGTACAGTTTAGTTGCTCGGGCTTGCACTTCAAATGTACCTTAAAAATATACTGCTTTTGAAAATTTACTTATAATAAAATCTTACACAACAGGTAAATATTGGAAGGTAAGAGAAATTTGAGAATTATTTAAATCACCCTTTAGTGCCAGAAAACATTGATTAACCAAAATCAGCAAATATGAATCTTTAATTAACTAAGAATGTCTTTTTTAACTTCTTGAGAAGAAAGGGGCAAATCAGCACGAAACAGACTTAAATCAAATATTATTGAAAATTCACTTTCTGGGTATCTCTTGATAGTAATACTTATTCATCTCACTTTATTGTACTTTTACAGATGTGGGTTTTTTTCTGTGCTACCCTGTGATATTTAAGGTGATAACCTGAGGGATGGCACCTTCTTAAAATATCATATAATAGAAGTTATGTTCATTCTTTAGTACTTGCTAAGGCAGAAATGTCAACTAACAGAAAACTTCCAGGAAGGTCAACATATAAAAGAATCTCTGATTAACCTGAGATTAGCACTTTTGCTCATTTCTTTCTTTTGTCCGTCCTTGTATCCATTCTTTCATTCATCCACCCATCCTGGCTTCTGTCTACCTCTCAGAACTCCTGTCATATCCTTCTCCTCCTGGTACACTCCTCTCTAGCCACATGGGCTTTCTTTCTTCTCCCCAAATAGGCCTGACTTGTTCTGGCCTGATGATCATTTCACAAGCTGTGGTACATCTGCCCAGAGTGTTCCTCCTCCCCTGATCTCTGCATAGCTGTGTTCTTCTGTCATTCATGTGTCAGCTAAAATGTCACCTCCTCAGACGAGCCTTCCTTTCCTTTAAACAACCAACCTAAAGTAGACACACGGTCACATTATCACATGCCCTAGTTAAATTCTCTTCATACTTAAAGTTTCTATCTTTCTGGTTTGTTTTTCTTTTCTATTTATCACCATTAAACCATAAGTTCCGTGAGCATAGGGGTGTTGTTTGTCATGCACTCCACTTTTCCCTTTAGAGCCTGGGACAGTGCCTGGCATATGGGAAGTAGTCTGTAAATGTG